ATATCAGAATGCTATAGGAGGTATATTATGAGCAGTTAAAGGTATCTATATTGATATAGCTTATATATCAGAACAAATCAGCCAATATTATAATAGGCCTACAATAAAGCATTGGAATATTGTAATAAGAGTATTGCAATATCTTAAAGGAACTATTGATTATAGTTTAGAATATGGTTAAATAGATAAAGCTATAAAACTACAAGAATATTGTAATGCCAACTATGCTAGGGATATAATAAATCGAAAATCGATATCAGAATACCTATATTTACTATTAGGAGGATCTATAAGCTAAAGCTTAACTAAACAATACTGTATTAATACTTTAACAATTGAAGCTGAATATATAGCTTTATTAAAAGCTAGTAAGTAAGGACAATAATTGAGAGAGCTATTGAAAGAACTTTATAAGGAACAATATTTAGGTAAAAGCTTAGAAGTGTTAGTTTATAATAATAATTAAGGATATATAGCACTAGCTAAGAATTCTATAGCTTATAATCGCACTAAGCATATTGATATCAGATATCATTATATTAAGGATCTAATAGCTTATAGAAAAATTACAATTGAATATTGCCCAATTAAGGATATACTAGCAGATTTATTTACAAAACTATTGCTAGTACTAGTATATATGAATTGTATTAAAGGGCTATTAAAGATTTAATAAGGATAGAAATATTTATAAGATATAGGAAGGGGATTGTTGAATCTTAATGCCTTGTATTTAAGGTTATTAGGAATGAGGGGTAATCAGGATCGATAGAGGTTTATAGAAGATTCTAGTCTTATAGCGATAACGATTATTGATTAGAACTCAAAAGATAAAACAGAAGGTTCTAGATAGTCCTGAAAGGCCTATATATACAGATCCTTTATTATTGTAAATAAATAATCAAGTTGAAATCAATATTCAAGAAAGAACAATATTAAATTTGAGTCACTACTCGCGTATATATTATATATCATTTATATATATATATATGATAAACCTCTGAACAAGAAGAATCTCGTTGCAACGGAGGGACTATCAGATTTCATGGTGATGTATGGACGAGTCTTTAATTACGATAGTAAATTGGAATGTCTAAGAAGTTTCGTCAAGTCTATCTATGTAAACAGACTAATCATTGACAGGATTGAACCCACATCCAATATTTATCAAGTGTCTTTGGATATTAAACGCCTGCAACTAATCTACTTATAGGAATCATTGAACACTCTGATCAAACCCCGAAAGTATTGTGAGAAGGCCGTGAAAGATTTACCAATCCAAACGCCAGACCTGTAATCTTCAATATCATTCCCAATGTCTTACCCAACATAAATGTATAAATTCTAATAAACTGCGCTGAAACAAACGTCCTCCTCTTGAATTTCTCTATTCATCCCAATGTATTCGCCCAAAGTATTCATTCCCATACAACCATTAATATTCATCCCTAATCAACACTCACTTCCGTGAACTCAGATCTTGCAAGCTAGATCCACTCAGAGGAAGATGCGACTTTTCTCTCTGTTGTCTCCATCCAACATTCGTCAAGAATTTCGCAGGATGATATACATTGAACAGAACCAAAACCGGAAGCATCAATGCGGCCTCAAAGACATAGAAATTCCATTCGTGAACCGAGAGATACCCATCGAAGCCGGTTGTGAATTCTACCATTCTGTATATCGAACGAGCCTGGGTATGTGTTAGCACTCAAACTCTGACGCACTAGAGATAGTAAGGGAGAACGTGGGGAGAACTTACAAAGATCAGCCCACTAGCAATGTTAATCGCCATCAATAATTTCTTCCACTGTCTATCCGGCCATGAACTTTCGAATTTCTTTGAGAGGAAATGGAATCTCAAAGAAATGACTAAGAAAAATCCAAAGCATACTAATTGGATAACCAGACCAACTTTCATAACATTATAACCCCGTTGAACAACCTTTGGATCTTTGGAGGTGGCGGAGGTGGCGCCGAATACTTGGATCAAAAAGGCGACGATGTCGCAAGTTACGAAGATGGGTGTCATCCAGCGGGGTGGTACCCAGAGGTTCTTGACGTTTCGGAAGGAGGAGGGAGTGACGTGCAGAATTACCCGGCCCTGGGGTGATGTTAGACTGGTTTCATGGAAAACAGTATGATGAACAAGATGGAGAGAGACAAGGACGTACCATTGCCATGTAGCAAGACGCAGCCATAAGCGCAGGCGCGAGGAAAATGAGAACAAATTGCACAATGTATGCGTCTGATTCGTTAGCATCTGAACTATACATGCCGTGCTTCTTTACTCACTTCTGTTAGTTGTGTCATATACCGAGACCACTCGACCTATGTACCCGACAGACTCCACTGTTGGGTATTAGCATTGTACTTCTAATCTTTTACCTAGGATGTAGTAAGACTTACTAGCTGCCGCTAGTACCATGAATAACCAGAACCAACTTTTGAGCCAGATGTACTGGAAAAGTGTGTATATAAAACTGCCTGTGTATAGGATGGCAAAAGCAATCGCGGCCCCCTTTGATGGGTCGTAGTCGTAATAACTAGCATCTGTGAGATGGATGTGAGCTTTTGAAGACCTGTCTTGCTTTGGAGAAACCTACTTTTGCTAGACATCTTCACACAGAATGTTTCTAAGTGCTAGAGACAAAACAAGAAGAGTTATAGTTTTTTTTTGCATATAATGATCTGAAGAGTTCTGGATATTCAAATCTAACTTCGATATCGAAATTTCACAGTGTTGAAAATCCCCGATAGTAACGACCGATTAAAGCAAAAATTGGTGAAATCAGAACAGTAAAAATGACATATTATAGAGAATCTGATAAATAACGATAAAAAAGGGATCGGAGGATAAGATATTCATTTTCCAGATACCTATCTTAAATCAATCAAAGCTCAAATCCATGCAGGAGAACATGTCAATATGCATATATCAACAGCATGCCTCGTGTCAACCGAGCTACCATTTCATTCTGACACAGCCCACTCCCATCCCATGCGTTGACGCGTCCGAACTTCCTGGTTACCCTTTTGGGAACCATGTGAGATGAATCTCGTATCTAGCGAGATCCGATAGGTCAAAGCACATTCGCGAAAAGACCTCGGGAAACCATCATTTGTTTCGCGTCCAGTCACCTTCTAGAATTCGATTCGATAGGCAGGTGCCAGAAAAAGCATCTCGATTGATGGGATTGTATGAGCAGTGTGAGGACCCGTAAGGCTGACACATGGAATGAGACAATGAGACTCCGCCCCCTTTGGTAATTTTGTTTTCCTCGCTTACACGAGAGATGTGGGCTGAGAAGCCCTTGCCAGACGGACATCGGGAGCGGACCATGAGTGTCTCCCAAACCCGCCTTTGTGTATCTCGGTCCCGGTACCGAAAAACGCGGTTCATGATTGGTTGTGGAGCAGCACTGCAGAGAATTTTATTTAGGCTATGCTTGAAGGGGTTGATGATTCTGGACCCACAAACCAATGACAGGGTCCAACGACAGGGTCCGTACGAACCAATAGTTAATTGGGAAGAAAGATTGTGATGTGAGAATAAGTTTTTTGGCATCTCATTCGCGTCGAGATAGAAGGCGAGATTCCATAAAAGTCTGAGAAAACCAGGTTGTAGGAATCAATGATGCCTTTCAAGTCAACATAGGAATTTGCCCTAGGTTGATAATGTATATGGGGTGTATGAATGCCTTGCTAGATATGTACAACGCACCTCGTAGCAAATGGTCAAATCGAATGGGACAATTTCTTTGAATTGTTAGCACTAATACTCTTCTCGAGATATTGAAATAATCGATGAGCAAAGCAGTTTAACCAAGCCAGAGCAGAGCCGTTATATGGAAGTTTCAATATCCATCAGAAACTCGATATTTGAGAGTGAATATAAATATCTTGACAGGACCAATAAAATACTTATCCTAGCAGTGATACCGAGATTACATATACAAGAGCGAATATGGGGTTCGGGTTGAGACGCAGGTCTTGATCCAGCCAATAGAAAGCCTATCCGATTCGTATAAGACATGCAACAAAAGAAACCGGCATATGAAAGAGTGAATCTGGAGTATCAAGGGCGGACCAATGCATGTCCACTACTGTAATGCGTATCCGAAGTCACGAATCTCGAGTACTGCCTGCGTCTTGTTTGAATGGAATCAAAATGAATGATACACGAGCATACGTCTGAATGGAATATCTGAAACCAATCGTGCAGCTTCTATTCGGAAATTCCGTGAATAATGTGTGCAAAATTTGTACATAAGAAGTGCTCGATCTTTTCTTTCCAGACAAACGATTCATAAACCTACACCCTACTACAAGCATCTCCGCAAAGAACAATCCATCAACGTACACCCTACTACAAGTATCTTCGCAAAGAACAAATACATACAAGCACCACATCAAAACAACTTGCATCTCCAATACAACACGGCGCTTTGGTATTGCTCCAGTTGCAAAGCCATCCTGCTTACCGGCGACGAAATACCTATGTGCAACACATGCAATATTCCAATGACCAGTCAGCCGGCCGACTGTTACTTTGAGATCTTGGGAGGAAGAGAATTATGGCTGAACGGAAGGGGCGCATTTAGGGGAGATGGGAACGAAAAAAGACTCTTCAATATTCAATTCTAGAGGTTTCCTGGTAATACCTAGTCAGTGCAATACGACACCCTATTCTGATCTCAAGGGTCAAGGATGCTTTGTTCCATCGTTAGATTTAAGTTCATTACATCGAAGTGAATGAATATTATTTGCGACGCGGTTGACAGTGCACTTTAAAAGTGGTGATTTCCGTCCGCCAACTTCTCACAAATCAAAAAATATTCATTATTTCCGCTTCATATAAATCATCAAAATGATGAATATCTATTGCAGATCTTATTTCGGAGAGATTCGCTAATCTATAACACCAAGCTATGCCCGCTAATAAAGTAATTGAGATTATGCACATTTCCCGCAAATATGATAGACAGCTTAGCTACCCTCTACGCGTATGCAGCCCAACCTATATATATTAATTAGCGTTTGTTACGAATAGATAATATCAGCATATAAGATGAAGATATGGGAGAGACGGCCGGGGTGGGATAGAACATACCTGAATACAACACTGCCAAATTCTTCTCATCCCTAGCTTGATTGATCAAATCATTGACTGTGGCCTCTACACTTAACGTTTTTGACAATTTCTTGTTGACCACGGTCAGAGCTTTATCAGCTTCACTCGGTTGGTTGACAGTTAACCTTTCACCACCTCTCTCATGTCCCATACCAGGTTCCGGCGCAACACTTTGCGCCACCTGCAATTTTGCAAGTCGCACGGGTGATATAGACCAGCTGTACAATGGATCATATCGTAGAACATCAAGGATAGTCATGATACTATAAACTTCCTTGCGCAAAGCGGAAAGAGTGAATTCGCAGCAGCGTCTGAATACACCTTCGGTTTCTGTTATGCCCATTCCGTCGACAATATCGCGGGTGAGACGGAAAGGTACCAATTCTGGGACCGGAAGAACCCGACCCATTTCAAAAGCCACACCAAGATCAATATGTACTACTTCACCACTCTCAAAATCAAGAAGAATGTTGTGACCATGCCTGTCGCCCAATCCGAGAACGTGACCTAGAATCGATATAGCAGCTGTGCTACGAGTGTATGCTAGACGCTTGGTGAACCATTCGTCAGGATCGTTAAAATACTCTGTAAAGAAGTAATGCATAACGGGACGAAAACGATCGATGACCCATCTATATTTCTTGATTCGTACTTCTGTTGGTTGACCTTGGACTTCCCCAATCTCTTTGCGACATGCATTCCCTTTTAGATCTTTTGGATTGAAACGCTCATGTGCTGGCATGAGATATTCATGCAAGGGAATTGTGTTCGGCACAAATTCAATGACTCCAGCTATGGACGTCAATGGTAGGACTTTGTAGGTTCTGATGCTGAGGTTTCTTTGTCGAGTAGCTCTGTTCGTTTTCAAGAGTTCACTGACTTGAGCAAATACCTGTTCCATGATGGCATCTTGGCGCAGATCATCATTGCCACCTTTTACCTAATATGTGTTAGCTAAAATAGTGAAATGCAATATGTCGAATACTTACCAATTGTTTAAATCGCACTCCATTATCCGCCACAGCAGTGATGATTTTCGGTGCACTTACTCCTGATGCTATACTCATCTGTGACTCGAATTTGACCATTTTTGGCACCTTAGAATAATCTTTATCTGCGCGAAGATTTATTTGTATTGTCGGAGGAGGTATTGGGTACTTCTTTAGAATGTTGTTGAGTCTCAAACCCGAGGGAGAATCTTTGATCGAGAGCTTTTTGCCTGTTTTGTACTTCTGATCATCTTTCTCGCCCGCAAGCTGAGTATATGGCTGGATAACATAATTCAACGCATTCCAAATTGCCCGCGAGCTCTCAGCTCTTTGTAGTTGCTCAGAAACCTTGAGAGTTGCTTTATTTCTCGAGATAGCTACTTCATCCTTGGTATTTGGCCGACTGTGAGATCCAGCATATATTTGGTACATACCGTGGTATGGATGATCCATACAGATCCGTAGAACTAGACCGAAGAGATGCTGCTGAAATTTTGAGTCATTTTCGAGTAACCGAGAACTGAGCTGGTTCATGAGCGTAGCAAATTTTCGACTAGGCACCTTGGGTAAAACTTTGGCTACAGCTTCATTGGCAAAGTTCTCTGCAGAGTTTTCAAGCCATAGAGCGGTGAAACGTAGCGCATTACTATCATGATTATCCGAAGCAGCTAATGAGAGAAGGTAATTCTCCAGGCATTGGCGTAGAAATTCGTCCCTGTTGGAGCAATGGCGGCGATATTCTCGCTCATCTAGTCCGAGCCAAGTCTTGGCTTTCTTGAGATAACTTTGATGTCTTTGTCTCTCTGTTGAAGATGTTGCATTCTTCAAAAGTTCCTCGTAGTCAGCGACATCGTTAGATCTCATCTCGCTTAACTTCTTCATTCGCTCTAAATCTTCCAAACTATCAGGGTCCTGCAGTTGTTGATCACAAAATACGGCAAATTGATGGAAAACTTTCGCAGCTTCATAGCCATCGGAACCTTTCAAGTCCTTGAGAGCAGGTTTTAGGTATCTCTCAATGATTCGATCAGGCTTCTCAAGTCTGGCTTCGGAAACTTGGTAACCAATCTTTGATAAGAGATCAGGACGACCAACAGATATAGTCTGCGATTTCAGGAAGGATGCATTGTCCAAAGCTCGTAATATACCTATTGAGGACGTCATTTCACCTTGTTCCCACAAGGCATTTGCGGTCTCCATATGAACGGCAGCTTCAATGTTTAAACCAAGAGACTGACACGGTTTGATAAGATCAATCAAAGAAGTTGTCAGAGATAGAGATTCTTGTAAGGCGCCGTGGTCACGATTTAGTGATGAAGCCATGAGGGCAACATGTACCTCGACTAGTCTTGTATCTTTGGAGGAGAGATTGAGTATGTCTCGAAGACGCGGTTGCTGGCTTAAGGTGCTTAAAGTTGTCCCCCGACAAGAAATCAACTGACTAATATCATCAAACCTATCTTTGTATTAGTTATGATTACGGTAGAGTGTGTAAGAATTTTTACCTCCCCGTCTTCATCCATTCGGAACGATTCCGAAACCTTGACAGAATCTGTTCAAACTCTTCGGATCCCCGAGAGCTGAGTACTTCATCCATCTCGGAAAGAGCCGCTAGGGTTCTAAGAGATTCGTGAAGAGCACTGGCGCTAAGGTCATCTCGCACGAGTCGTTCCATTGTCCCCTCAAGTCCTTCGTTAATTACTTTCATGAAAGATCCACGGGCTGTAGCAACATGAGCCGATTGGAAAGCCTTATAGAGAGTGACTGAGTGATTATCGCTGGTAGGAACAGGAATATCCCATTGTTCTAGTTTACGTGCGGTGCGAAACATAGAATCTAAAGATGTGCCAGCTATTCCAGAACCCTGCTGTGCTTGTAACAGAGAGTGAGAAAGACCACTTAGGCTAAGCATGTCTAATGCACTAACAAGAGACTGCGCATCCCGGGCAGCTCTAGGATCTCGCTGCTTAACATGGCTGTCATATTGCGCACCTCTAAAAGCAAGACTTTTGGGCCCATCTTTCTCATATTCCAGTCTCGCTAATATGGTGCTTAAACTAGCTGTTTGCTGCACTCCGTAATATAGATCTGGATCATCAATGTTTTCAAAGATTGCGAGAAGTAAGTCTGTGGGTATCTCGGGGGTCTCACCGCCATCTTTGGTCGTCGAAGACCGTCTAGAAGATTTTACTGGGATCAAATGGTGTTCTTCAACAAATATCAAAGCCGTTTTAAACATTCCACAATGTATGACGGCTGTGGCGACTTTGAGGTAGTCAAGATCCAGCCAATGCAGACGATCCGCTGAAGACTTCTCGTGAGGCAGAGGTTGCGTCCGTAAGTACAAAATCGAATTAATTATAGCCTTTAGATTGTTCCTTTCGACGGATTGTCCTCTGGAGAACCACACCGCAAATGCATTAGATATTTGATTACGGTTGTTCTTTTGTGCAGGCGAATCTGTAGAGAGCACGAGGTGAAGGATGAACGGAAATGCTTGATTGGCAAAGTCTGGCACGTTTCGAAGAACTGGTGCTAAGGCGCACAGTATGGGATCTTTAGGGACAGCTCTGACCAATGCAATAGAGAGATCTCTTAACCAATTAGGAGAAAGAATGCAATCTGCCTCGAGATGTTTCCTTAAGCTATCCTTATCATCTGTGGGTCCTGCCATCTCACATGGAGGAACAGGATAAGGATTCCACGCTGACGCTTCAAATACTGGGGCGATAGAATTTGACGGCCAATCTCCAAAATATGCGCGTCTGAAGTTGTAACAATGATACGCAAAGCTGTTTCGACAATTCCCACCGTCGAACCATTATCCCCCAAGATCAACGATTGTAAAAGACTCAATATGCATGCTCTTGAGGAAGAACTGACTTTGGATGATATTTTCAGTTCCTTGATTTTTGACAAAGTGGATTCTTGCAAAAGCTCCTGATGCACATGCCCAGTAGCCGCGAAGGCTCTTCCGAGAACCCGCGCAGCCCAAGACATATATTGTTTGTTGGAAGAATTCCCTTTGCAGGACTTCCATACAACAGCAGCCATTCCTTCAGCAGCTGCATCCTCACCGTATATATCACTCCGGTAGGAGGCAGGGCATTCAAACTCGGAGCATAGCATACTGAGCGCGAGCTTCCGAGCAGGCAGAGTCAGTAACGCGCCTCCATTTTTTTCGTCCTCTAGTAGCCGGTCAAGTAGTGTACTCTCTATTGTTCCCCTTTCAGCATTTCCAATTGCTCGAACCTCCTGGGCAGAGGCAACGAGAGCTTTGAAACTCGAACTCAGAGACCCCGCCAGAACAGGAGATTCATAACGTGAGGCATACTTCCCAACCCAGAGGTGAAATTTCTGGGCTTTGGACATTGTCGCTTGGTGTTGACTTTCTTGGGTTGTGCTAGATCTACGCTCCTGCATGAATACGCGCAGAGATCCGAGTATTGAAAGGGTAATACTTGCAACAAAAGATGGGGACAGCTTTAGATACTCAGAACCATGACTCAGCAGATATTGTAGAATGCCAATAGCATCATCAGCACATTCAGGATCCTTGAGAAAGGGCCTTATGGATCTTAGAAGCATTTCTAGAGGATAACCTTCAGTTACAGCGTTTCCGGCAAGCGAGATAAGAACACGAAGCTTTCGCAACACCGAGCAAGCATGTAGCGAACCAAGTGCAGGGTGAATAGTCTTCAGTAGTCTTCTAGCAATGAAAGCTACTAAGCTTGGGGTGTATAGATCGCCTGCCTCATGCACTGTTCTCTTACACAAGAGTTTGATTTCGTGAAAGAGGTACTTTGCCTTGAATGCAGGTTGCTGATTGGGAGGCAAGATCATCTCAGACGAGCTCAGAGATTTGATCTCTCCCATAATTTTTGCGGCATATCCTAAGCTCTCCTCTTTTGCAAATGACTTTTCCACATGTTGCTCTTGATCTATAACATTAAACAGGGTTGCAAGTATATCTGTGAAATGCAGATTGACGCATTCCAGGTACAGTTCCTCACCGAGGCAGGTTTTCAGCCGATGCTCACCTTTATGTTTCTTGCCACTCGAAGGTGATATGCTTATCTCGTTAGCAATACAGTATGCCGTGACTTTGGCAAAGCATTTCTCAAGCAATTTGACAACAGGAATCTTCAACAATTCAGCGAGGTGTTCTAGTTGAGCATCATCACCCCGCATCATTATCAAAGCGGAAACCTCTTCCTGAACGGATGCCAATAAGTCGCCGAGAGCGGCGAAGCCAAAGATTTGGTATGGTATGTCCTCTATTGCCTCTGCCTCGAGCCAAGTATAGAGTATTTGAGGCGCAAACAATGCGAAGAGCTCCTGCGGACAGTCTACTGCGAGTGCAGAAGTAACATCGAACAAGCACCGAGTAGCATGTCGAATAGTACCTGGAATTCTACCCGGAATTTCGAAAATATGATAAATGCATCTTCGCAGAAGAGTTGACCAACGAGAAGCTAGTTTTGCCAGGACGTAAAGTCGAAACGCGATACTTTCCCACAATTCTGGTGCAGAAGGTAAAAGTGCAAGCACATCTACAAAGATTTTGTCATGCTCCTTCAGCGTAAAGAGTTCGAATATTGTCGAAATCTGGTCGCCAATGAAGAATTTAGTAGCAGTATTGCCTTTCTCTAGGAGCTCCAATAGGCTTGTACGCGGTGAGGGCTGAGAAGGGGCATTTCCATAGTTTTGATTTGCTCGCAGTAGTTGTAATAGCAGATTCACAATGCCTAGCTGCACGATTGTGGAATCGGCGTTTCGCCGGATCCGAAGTATAAACCAATCATACAATTGCTTAGCGTGATTCACAAAAGAATTCTGCTCTTCCATTGACCAAAAAGGTAAAAGTCCTATCATTACGTCCAAGCATGCGCACATTGCAACTTCGCTGGCAAGGAAATCATCTGATGAAAGAATTTGTCCCACGCGCTCGAATATGCGATATGCATCTGTCTCATTCAGAATGAGATCTGACTCAAGCATACTGCGCATAAGTGGACGACACGAGAGTAGTTCTTCATCCTTCATAGAGACCAGCTCTTCAACAAAAGAATTTGATACCGCACAGCTTTCAGAAGACTCGTTCAGGTCGGCGGCCAACATCAGTCGACCTATTGTATCTATATAAAAGGACGAAGAACTCATTTCCAGCGCCATGGCTCGCCTAGGAATGTTCAATTTTTGTGCTTCCGTTGACAAGTGACTTCTCTGGCTAGAAATCTCATCGTCGATATCCATGGGATCATCATCACGCTCTGGAATTGACTCTTCGGCTAAACGGCGACTTTTGATATATCCCGAGATATGGGATAGAAACTGCAGCAGTTGAGATTTGTGCTCTGCGACATGCTTGAATTGAGCAGTATCGCAAGGAGGTAGATGGGGTTGGATTGTTTGCAAGATAGTATGGACAAACTCTTTGGTGGCGTGAAAGTCTTTAGCATCTGATCGTCTGAGGTATTCCAATAACTCATCGCTCAAGTCCCGGAGGTCATTCCTTAGAAGAGATAGTTGCTCTAAATTAGCGTTGGCAAAATGTGGTAGTAAATGAAGACTCGTGATACATGTATTTAGTGAGCCTCGATACATATCAGTTGAAACCTGCGATCTTTCCGTATTGAAGCTTCTCCAAGATAGTAGAAGCTCGCTACACTTTGATGACAAGAACTCGAGTATCATTCTCTGGGTAGAACTAAAGTGAGCACTATCCAATCGAAAGATAACATCATCATCAGCCGTAGACTTCGGGCAGTGTTGGCAGGTGAAATCTGCTTCGACGGGTTCATCGGCATCAAGTAGTAAGAGATAACGAAGAACCTTTTCTTTATCTAAGTGTTGTTGCCATGCTTGAAACAGCGCACCTCCTATTTGGCGACTATTTGATTCATCAGACAATCCCGGTAGGCCAAGGCTCGTTCTTATCAATGCAATGATGCTAAAAGGGTGTAAATGTTTCCCATATTGAACAATAAATAATCTGTCAGCTTAATATGTGTCAGCTCTGGTCCGATAAAACAAGCAGGCTTCGTACCTGGATTCCATCTTCCGAAAAGCCAACGGATCACATGCTGGCAGGCAGCCAGGCTCGCGCCAGGAGCTTCATTAACCTTAACTTGTAACAAGTGATTAATCAGGAAAATCGACGAGTCACAGAGGACTGGCGGGCCACTGATATCAGCCGTGGTGATGATGGCGTTCACACTGTCTTCAATATCACGATAATCTAAGAGGCATTTGGCATGTATTGTATGGAGTGCTAGAGCAGCAGCACGACAGGTCCCCGCAAAAGTGAGCGCTTTAGCTCCATTATACCAGTGCTGTTTCCAGTCTATTGATGATCCGTCCGCAGCACATACCTGATAAGTACAACTGTGATTTTGTGGTCAGTTAAACTAAGTCCAGGGATAACATGGTACTGACTGACCTTGCTATACCAAGTAATGCCCATGATGCAATGTTACCACGCTTGTCCAAAGCAAAATGCTCAGTTGATCCAGTAACTCTTCTAGAGAAGAAGCTGGGAGTTTGCAGTTTTGTAGTACGAATGGAATTAATTGCAAACCGGCCAATAGTACTTTCTGATCGCCGGACTTGAGAGGTTCAAGTAGTCTTTCAGACGATTGCGAGATACGTTGACGCTTTCGTGGATGGTTATCTAAGTCACCTCCTGATTTGGGTTTCACTTGAAGCACGTGCTCTTTGACTCTCACCAATCGTTCTAGGACGGCCAGAGCGAGTAGGTTTGCCCAATTACGCTCGGCCGTGCGATTATTGTGAGATTTCAGTCGGAAGCAATGTAGACGAAAAGGATCGCAGCTTATCTTTCGGGTATTCAAATTTAGAATCTCCACATCGTCCAATTGAAGCTGATCATTGTCTGTTCGCCGAAAGTAATCTGCTCTTAAGGCGTCAAGTAAATCATTCAAATCACTATGAAGCTCGACATCATCATCGTTTATGATATTGCTCTCCAGGTGTAGATGAGTGTAGTACAAACTAATCAGCATTTCATCTCGAACAGAGTTAACCATTTCGTCTTTGTGCAGTGCTTTAACTTGCCAAAATCGACATATCAAAGGAAGCAACTCTCGGCCAATTGAAAACGAAAATGAGGTGTGATCTTCACCGAAACATGATAAAACGATATTAAGGACTGAAAATGCTACTTGATGTAGCTTGCTTACACTCGAAATATGGTACTGCAGCAAGCGCATGATTACGGCGGCCACTCTCTCAACAATTGGAAATGAAGGATTATTGGTAGAATAGAGAAGCGAGAAGAGGATTTGGCAAAGGTCTTCTACGTTGTGCTGAGATACCGAACTTTGTACCCTTGGTATACTTCCAAGCCCAGAGGAAGACCTAGGCAGTGATGGGTGACCAGCCCCATTGCCAGACTGTGAAAGATCTTCACCAGTATCTCCGAGGTACGATTCGATACCCACGATGGAAAGGTCGATGAGTTCGACCCGAAGATTCTTGAGGCTTGCTACAATTGCTGGTTGCCCAAGCAAACAGCCCAGTGCTTTGAGATAGTCACTTAATATCGGCTGACAGTAATCTCTTGTTGATATCGGGATCGTATCAAGAATATGCTCAATCAGAGCGTTGACAGTCGTTTTCTCGAACCTGTGTACTCCAGCAGTCACGATGTAATTTATGGCCTTAGCACATAATTCCAGCCTAGTGACCGATACTTTCACTGTTGGCCTTTTCGACTTGCCTAAATATTTTCGTTTCTCCTCAATGACAATTTCGAATAAAATCTCGAATAATTTGTCGTATGTCTTGCTTTGAAGTTGTCCATTGATGTGCTGGCCGCTGATGTCTAAGTTAGCTCACAGCCTTCGTTACCAAATGAATGTCTGACTTACATATTAGCAGCCTTATGGGGATAAAACATGTCATTGAGATCTATATCCCGCTGTCAACATCTGTGAATCTGCCAAGTAAGTTCATGGCTTGGATCGAATGGATTTACCTTTCAAAGACTTCGTGAAATCTCCCTTTCTACTCTCCAGGGTCCCTGAGTTTTATTTAACTTTTGTGTCGATGACTGCCAATCGAGAATCATAATTACCCATAACCTGACTTAGAGTTATATCTGCAGACATGTTGAGATGAATTGCGACGACACAGGTTTCGACGCATTCCTAGCTTGGAGCTCTCACAACTGTTGTGGATATGGAATATGACGAGCTCGGTGATGTATAAGTAATCTGAGAGGAGCTCCAAATACATTAAGGATTTAGTAAAGATCAATTCAAAAGTAGTGTTTATAAATTGAGCAGCATCACAATTTTGAGACTCGCAGAAAGTAGACAAACACCATGGAACTAGGACATCTTGAAATTTCATCAGTAATATATTGAACGACTTTTATTTTTTTATCTTTTTGGTGGTTGGCCTTGGTTACAGTGCAAGTTATGACCTTTCGCGACGCGATTTTTTCGTGTGCAGGGACCTATTGTACAGCTTCAAAATTAACATCGCTTGTTTGTTCTATCAAATAATTTTCTATGTGACAACAGGTAGCCCAAATTACTGCTTACAGCATCCTCGACAACGAAACAATTACAACTTGCCATGAAAGGGATACAAATCTACCCCCTTTGAACTTTTATGAGTTCTATGCCAGATCAATTCCCTGTGTTCCACGCCTCGGCGCAACCTTCTCAACCATGGCGGAGCAACCCAGTAGTAGCTTGAACGAAATCCAGGCCTTGCATTCAGACCTTCTTGCACTATCAAACTCCCGTCTTTCGAACCTTGACCGATTAGCCATTGAACTCGAAGCTCATATTACAGCCTTTCGTAACCTCCTGAACCAGAAGAATCGAAATGAGCAAAGTCGGCAGAGTATCACAAAGGGTATGTAATTTTCTACAGCCATGAACAACCCTACAAAAACCCCCAAAACTAATATAACCATAATAGAAATCTTGGAGCGAGATGGGCAGATATACAAGATGAACGAGGACTTCCAACAGGGAACCTTTCAACTAGCAGATGAATTGAACCTTGATGAAATTGAAGCTTCCCAAATCTTTTTCGACGCACAAGACGATGCCGATGCGACAGGACGTTCAGTTTTGTCCTGCTCTATAATACGCTTTCATCAGCGGCGAAAGCTTCTGTTGGACTGCTTGCGTCTTACGCTTCAACAAATTGCTGAATTGGAAGGCAATACGGAACAGGAGCAGGAACTGAAGATATTCCTAGAACATATCATCAAAGAAACGATCACTCCAACTACGGCCACTACTATAAACGCAACGAGAAATGCGCCAACGTTCATTTCAAAGTGTATCTCTGCCATGGGTGATATCAGACAGTGGCTTCAAAAGATTTCAGACAAAGTTAGTAGTGCGTCTGTATTAGGGCAGCCATCACAGCCAGAGCTTTTGGAAATCATGGAGTATCAGCGACACAGTCTCATCAAACAACATGAGTTACTAGGCGTCATTATACTCTATTTGGTGAAAGCAGATCGTTCTAGCGTGGAAGATTTCGAGCTACTACTTGGAGTTTTGAAGAAAGCGGATAAGTATGATAATGTTTTGGGTAAGCATTGTTTAATTTTGGAATCAGGATCAGAGCTGCTACAAGATGTCGTCTGTTTTACAGCAGTACAATTTCAACTAACAAATTATTACAGTGCATCATTTTCCAGCTCTAGCTGCTTATATTTGGCGCTTTGGTTCTCCGGAAGGTGGATCAACGATACAAGATGCAAGAGCGCTGGACAAGAAGATCAACGTTAAAAACGACCAGAATGCATGGGTATTGCCTTATGCTCATGCCGCATTTCGAGCATGGTGGTTGGCGGAATATAGTGGGTGGTATGTGGAACACCATGATGGATTACCACATGGCATTAATCTTGAAGAAGGTTAGTCATGTATGAACCCCTCGCTTCTCCAACTAATCTAACGAAAACGTCAGAGGCCAAACAGCGATCTCAACAGTTCAACGAGGCTTTGAAAGATGGAGCATTCGATTTCTTATTGTCTCTTTCTGCTGATGTCAAAGCAGCAAGCTGGACAGAACCGTCACGTCAAGGATTTCGGTTGTGGCTACAGAGAAAAGCTCCTCAGCTTTTGTCTGATTCAGTCTCTTTCTCCGATTTCTTCGAAGATCAATTCATGGAGCAACTTCAGACGTTTATTGAAAGTTTCATAACGAACTTGCCAGACGTGTTAAGGAAGTTGAGGATAGATGAGGATGAGCAACGTCAACTCAGTCATGAGCATGAGCACGATCTAGATCTAGAGCGATTTATTATTGTCATCTCTTATGCCTTTGATGGACGCCCAAAAGCTGCTTTGGATGGATTTTGGGATGTTCCAGATGGTGTGTTGATCGGTTTCATGTACTGGGCTTCGCGGCGTGCTTCAACCCCGCTGGTCTCGGCATTTTGTGAAATGCTCCAGTCCATTTCGGGTGATGATGAATGTGCAACTGCTGCGCACGAATTTCTGCTCGACGAAAGCCCTCAAGCCGGAAAAATGAAACGAGCTCATGCACTCACGTGGAATCAAATATTCAAGGAACTAACGTTTTTCACAAATAAACTTCGGGATCAACCAGTACCACAAGCTCAGGCTTATCGCCATGGGAAGCCAAATCACGACCAAGCAGAACTAGAGCCAGAATCTTATATTATGCTGGAGTCTTATCTCCGCCTCATATCTCAACTCTGTTCGCATAGTGCAGTCGCCAGGCAATTTTTGATGCAGCATCCATCGTATCAGCTCACAGACCTACTTTTCCAACTTGCATCCAGTTCGATACCATCGCGATTCAGAGCTGGTGCTTTCACAGCACTGCGTTCTTTGCTAAGTAACAAAACAAAAGCGGCAGCCGAGTACTTGTGGACAGCTCTTGACATCTGGGTCTCCGGGGGATACGTGCATAATCCCAGCACCCAAAGAAATACAGCTCCTCCGTCCTACGCACCTGACGCAATTCTCCGCAAGTTTGGCACAGGGTTCGAAGAACCAGATTCATTCATCCTACTTCTCCATGCTCTTGTACTACCTTACGAAGAAGATAGTGCCCTACGAGATGGCTTACCATTCCCCGAACTTCTCGGAACTTCCAATCGCATGCCTGGAATAGATCCATATGTCGATTTCGCGGTTGGCCAGGTGTTTGGATCTAAAATGAGTGAGATAATGGATCCCATACAGCTGAGACTGCTACAACTGACGTGTCTTACTTTCATTACAACTTGCTTGGAGACTTTCAATGAAGATCTTGTGATATTTGCAAATCGTTCCAACATATCAGTTGACACAGCTATAAAAACTTCCGATCTACAAACTTACGTTTTATTACATCCATTTTCTAGGGTGATGGAGTGGATGTACAACTCCAGCGTAATGGATGCGATATTTGCTGCAATTCACCAAGACGTTAACGAAGTTGCCAGTGCGGCCCCTGATTCACCATCAATCATATGTCTCCTCCAAGGAATACGTGCAGTCACCTTGATCATGGATCTGCAACCAACTTACCGAGATATCGTTCGACCTCTAATTAAGCATCAGGCTAGCCATCGGCGCGCCCCAGTTCCAAACACCGCGTACGCATCTTTTGAAGACGGAGTACTCAACCACTTGAGTATCATTCCTGATTTGGGCTTATACTGTAGCTCCGGCAATCCCGAATTGGTGATAGCATCTCTGAAACTGCTTGAGAAGCTTTCTGCCTCGCCAAGACTTGCCCCCGCTCCTAAAACAGGTAGCAGAAGGATTGACCGTAATAAAGCAATTGCTGCTCTAGAGGAAAATAATGCAGCTGAGGCTATCTCACGCGCACTCCTGCAAGAGATGGAAGCAAGTATTGACGAGACCCAAGGTCAAACGTCCGATTCATATATCATCAAGGTCCAAATACTAGATTTCCTCATCGCCTGTCTCGAGGCGTGTCCAGGTCAGACTACAATAGCTCATTTACTTCTCGGTTTCCAGTGCAGAGATGATCATTTAGAAGTCGATGTGGATTCGCTTTTCAGCCGTCGGATTTCGCTCTTTCATTCGATATTAAGGTTGGCTAATGACATATCTCTCGAGGGCGAGGGAAACATCTCTTCATGGCTTGTCTCCCTAAGATATAAATGCCTGCGACTACTTAAACAACTATGGCATTCGCCCATTTCATCGAGCCTTGTTATGATAGAGATGCGGGCAAATAATTCATTTTTCGAAATGTTTATCAGACAAACTTTGATTACGCCAGGCTTACTGTGGGATGGCCGAGATCTCGCAGATCCTGAATTTTTGGACGCGACTTCCGCCTCCTGCCTCTCAAACTTTTTAAATCAACGCGCCAACGTCTTGCAATACACATCTGCCGAGTTACGCCAGATAGCACTCGATCATCTGCCTTCTCTGAAGGAGCGAATGTTTAACACACTACTTGGGTCAACAATTGTGGAAGAAGGCCAACAGGTTGATAATTGTTCCGTTTTTGATCTTTTTGACTTCATGGATATACCTTTGAACCAATCGATCGCTCTTGGCTCGTTATCCTGGTTCAAAGATATTGATGTCAGTGCATGTGAGGAGGTCCATACTGATTGCCCTCCATTATTCAACATGATGAAGCTTGAAGAGCTTCTCACTTTACGAAGATCTGAGCTCGCCGCTTTGAAGAGACTTGAAAATCCTCAAGACGTGGTTGCATTCAATAACGAAGCCCAAATGATGTTCAACTACTATTTTATCGATAACAAATTAAAGGAACTGAGAGCAGCTCGGCACAAGGCGCTGCAATCTTGGGTCCAATTATTACTCGTGATGGTAGAGACTATGTCTTACGACGAACCGACCAAGATAGTCTTTGTATTGCAGACTTTGCAAATAATTCTACCTAGGCTAGAAAACTGCCTAGAAAATGCAGCTGATGCGTTAGAGCTAGCTAAACTCACCAAGGCACTCTTGTTCAGCTTGAATCTAGATTCCAACACTTTCAAGGAAGGTGACTTGGGACAAAATCTAAGCGATAAGCTCTTCCATGTGTTCGAATTGTCGCTTAGAGCTATAAACGCCGTTGGGGCTAACGGTTCCTTAAAAGAAATTTTCTACAGTATCAGCTATCGCTATCTTAC